CCCAACAAGCGCTGCGCGAACTCAACCACTGACTGTAGACGTGTTTGTCAAAATCACACAACCCATTGAAGTGACAACCCCTTTTCCATTCCACTAACTGACCCAACGAAACCGAATCGACCGCTAAGAATTTCGCGGTCACAACTTTTCATGACCCCTCATAAAACCCCTCATACCCACTTTATACACATGCCTATACGATTTCGTTCTTTCCCAAAAAAGAAAACCGAGTCCCCGTCCATAACAAACTTGAACGACCTATCAAACGACCACTAAACCCAACACCAACACGACCCCTTACAACTACCGGTACGTCTCCTACCCGCGACCGCAACCTTACGACTTTTTCCCTATACCCCGAAAAGACCCCAACACACCATTCAACGACCACGTTCGACGAGCACTACATTTCCCTAAAAAGAAACCCCGCAAAACGATAAAAAAACCGTCACGGTAAGCGCAGCCTCTGGCTGCGAACACTCTGCGTGGTGTCGGCTGCCTTCCATGCGATCGGGCGCCTGCGTGGGTCAACGTGGGGAGCTTGAGCTGGGCGTCCTGCCCCAGGTTAGCGGTGATGCTGACGTGGCAATCCCATCAGATGTGGGGTTGGTAGGGAGCGTGGGAGATCGTCGGCGCGAATTCTGCCGCGGTATACAAATGGCTTCGATGGGTGACAAGCAGCGAGGGGCCACCGACTGACGCATATTCATTCAAGGAGCTCGTTCTCGTTTACAGGAGATGGTGGAGGCACTGCGATCACAAGTGGGAGTTAGACTTGAGGCTGTTGGGGGGGAAGCTTCATCGCGTCCACCGTATCGGGAAGTGATGTCGAACATGTTGCAGATTGTCTGGGAGCTGCAGCATCTGCAAACGGAGGGCCTCATGGATGGTCAACTGGAGGCTCTGAAGCGGTGTTGCGACGACATCTTCGAGGAGGGGCAAGATGTGGACGCGGCGCTGGAGGAGGAGTTCTACTTGCACTTGTTCGAGACGGAAGATGCGGATTACACCGATGTGTGCACCACTGGTAATGACGAGCTGGAGGAGGGTCGAACTGGTGTTGATATCGCCCTCCCTACTGATAAAAATGCAATTGATAACAACATGTTTGTGCAGGTCTGGGGTATAGACACAAGGATCGTCAACTTGGGCTTGTCCGACAACAACGTCAACAATAAAAACAACAACAACAATAACAACAACAACACCAGCAACAATCACGACGTAGGGATTGTGGGCATCGACAAAATTACGACAGTCGAGCGCGACACTGGTGCAACGTGCACGCTGGATTGCGATAATAACAACAGTGACAACGACAATGACATTAATAACAAACAATGGTAAGCACGACACCGATGCGAGTGATGAAATCGTGAGCCCGTGCACGCTGGATTGCGGTAAAAACAACAGTGATAACGACAATGATCTTAATAACAACAACGACAACCACATGAAGAATGTTAATATCGACGGTTTGGTAAGTATGGTAGGGGTTTCCGATTTGTCTACCCCTCCTTCTCTCCCCCGCTGTCCTTTCTTCCTTGCAATCAGGTTGACGATTTGGGGGGTGGGCGAAGGGGTTGTTGGAATGGTCCGCTCAACAAATTGGAAGGGTGTGCGGGACAATTTGGGGTGGGGTGGGTGTGGATGTGACGTATTGCCAGGTGGTGAATTCTAGTTGGCAGTGTTGTGAATTCACCACGTGGCTTCATAGGAAGAATAGTGGTGTTAAGCTCTTGGGGTAGTCCAGGTGGTTTAATGCAGCTTCTGGAATGTCGGATTCGGTATATTAGATTCTCTAAATTATCTATTCTGGCTACCCTCCCCCCCATGGCGCTGTAAGGTTTTGTGAAAAGTATTATGAGGGTGGATGAATAGGGATAATGATTTTCTTACATTGAGATAGGCAGAGGGTGATTGATGTTGCTCATCATGATGAGATCTGAATGCTTACGTGTCCCCTTACCAGCTGATTAGGATCCTTAGGCTTTGACACGTGGCACGCTTTACAACAAACTTCTGTGTCTAGGGATGCTGGACCCGATTTCCAGCAGGTGTTGCTCCCCACCAATAGATGGAGCCTCCACGAGCGTGCTAGCGGTGTCTGCTCCTATCAGCACCTCTAGCATCCAATCGGGCAGTTAAAAAAAAAAAGAGAAAAAAAAAAAAAGGAAAATTCATCCGTGGCACTTTAATTTCTGAAATATTGTGCCAGAACAATTGTCTACCGCGTGGGCGCGAAAAACGCAGCACTAAGGTAGCCAAAGGAGAATAAGAGCGCGCGCAAGAGAGAGAGAGAGAGAGAGAGAGAGAGAGAGAGAGAGAGAGAGAGAGAGAGAGAGAGAGAGAGAGAGAGAGAGAGAGAGAGA